TGTACTTTGTGCCTTTCTTTAACTCAGTAGTTCCAGTAGCTTTGTTGCCAGAAGGTGGGTCTTGATCCAAATCCTAAAAGGGGATTCTTGGATCATGTGCAGGAAGGAATTCAAGGCAAGTCACAGTGCAGTGAGAAGAGGTCATTTATTGAAAACTACTCAGTTACAGAGTCGGGCATCCTCAGAAAGCAAGAGGAGGAATGTGCTGTCTTTGTGTTTTGTCGTCGTTGTTCAGTTTTTGTTTTTTTGAGATAAAGTCTCCCTCTGTTGCCCAGGCTGGAGTGCAGTGATGTGATCATGGCTCACTGCACCTTGACCCTCCCAGGCTCAGGTGATACTTCCACTTCCGCCTCCCAAGTAGCTGGGACTACAGGCACCCACCACCACGCCCAGCTAATTTTTGTATTTTTTGTAGAAATGGCATTTCACCATGTTGCCCAGACTGGTCTCGAACTCCCAGGCTCAGGTGATCCACCCACCTCAGCCTCTAAAGTGCTGGGGTTACAGGTGTGAGCCACCATGCCTGGGCTATCTTTGTTTTAAAACCTTCTTATATAGGGGTTTTACCTTTGTAAAGGTTAAGCTAAGCTCTGTCTATGTGTGGGTGGGCTGACAGCATGGCAAAATTTATTGTTCTGTTGATGTAGAGAAAATTATTCTTTTATTTTTATTTATTTTTTAATTAATTTATTTATTTTTTTGAAACAGAGGCTCACTTGGTCACCCAGGCTAGATTGCAGTAGCATGATCTTGGCTCACTGCAACCTTCACCTCCCGGGTTCAAGCGTTTCTTCTGCCTCAGCCTCCCGGGTAGCTAGGACTATAGGCACGCGCCACCACGCCCAGCTAATTTTTGTATTTTTGGTAGAGACAGTGTTTCACCATATTGGGCAGTTTGGTCTCGAACTCCTGACCTCATGATCCGCCCAGCTCAGCCTCCCAAAGGGCTGGGATTACAGGCGTGAGTCACCGCACTTGGCCCCTTGCTTTTTTTAGTGAATAAATACATCAAAGCATAAATATAATTATCTTAAAATAATATATTGTTATGGGTATTAGGACATCTGGACTTTCCATTGCTGTAAGATTATGTTCTTTCAGGTACATTTAAGCTGTTTTCTCAACTGTAAACATCTTATGACCATGGTTCGTGACTGGCAAGTAATGTACCTCGCTAGTTTTAAGATGGAGTCGATTTTAAAATGATGTCACCTTGGTTCTCCTGTGCTCCTATTTCTCTAACAGCTTTATCATATATTTCTTAGTCTGGACACAGTGGCTCACACCTGTAATCCCAGCAACTTTGGGAGGCCAAGGCTGGCAATCACTTAAGCCCAGGAGTTTGAGACCAGCTCCAGCAACACAGCAAGACCCTGTCTCTACTGAAAATTCAGAAGAGTTAGCCATGCACGGTGTCGCACACCTGTAGTCCCAGCTACTCGAGAGGCTGAGGTTGGGAGGATTGCTTGAGCTTAGGAGGTCAAGCTGCAGTGAGCAATGATCGTGCCACTGAGGTCAAGTCTGGGTGACAGGAGTGAGACCCTGTCTCAAAAATAAACAAACAAATAAATAAATAAATATTCCTTAAGATTTTTCTACATAGACAATCATGTCTTTTTGAGTGGAGTCAGTTTTACTTACTCCTTTTTGTTTGTTTTGGAGTTTTTTTTTGAGACAGGGTCTCACTGTGTCGCCCAGGCTAGAATGCAATGGCATGATCATGGCTCAGTATACCCAGGCTCAAGCAATCCTCCCACCTCAGCCCTCTGAGTTCCTTGGCCTCCCAAAGTGCTAGGTTTACAGGTTTAAGCCACCGTGCCTGGCCTACTTATTCATTTTTAATCTCTGCCTTTAATTTCCTTTTCTTGCCTTATTGCCCTGGCTAGAATCTCCATTTTGGTGTTGAAAAGAAGTGCTGTGATAACAGACATCGTCATCTTCTTCTTGAACCTAGGGGGAGAAAACATCAGCCTTTTACCTTTAAGTATGATGTTAGCTGACATTTTTTGTAGATCCTCTCCAGGAAAGTATTTTTTTAATTGGCTATATTGCTGCCCAAATCTATTTGAGGCTTTTGAAGAAAAGAAAGGCGAATGGATATGGGGAAGGTACTTCTTTATGCATTCAGCTCTGTGTTTTAGCTGTGTGATGCTCTATCAGGAAATAGGCATATCTTTTTATTCAAAGATTTAAGTATGGGATGTTGTTGATATTAAATGTGACCATGTGTGACCATACTTATCTTTATAAACAGCATGCTTGGGAGGGGCAGGCTTTGCCAGGGAACTAACTCACTCTCAGTCCATTGGGAGGCAGTGTAGCCCGTGGTTAGGGAGGTGGGCCCAGAGGCCTGGGCACCCTTTTCCAACTCAGTTCTGTAATCTTGTCCAAGTTACTGAACATTTCTGTGTTGCAATTTCCTACCTGCAAAATGAAGATCTTCATAAAATCTACTTCCAGGGCTTCTGAAGACTTAATGAGCAAATACGATTAAGTGCTTAAAACAGAGCCTGTTTTCTGGTGCATTTTTAAGAAGGACTTTGTTGGCATAAGGCTGTATTTACACACAGGTTTTCAGTAGCAGGTTTATTGCCTGAAGCAAAGAACAGCCATATCATTTTTTAAATCCTCTCCTGGAACCTCGTATTAAGGTTTTTTTTTAAGATGAGAGGGTTGATTTCTGTTGTTTCACAATATTGTTTGTGCAATACATATCTTTTAAAATCTTGTGCATTGCATAGGCAATTACAAGATTATAATGGTTGCCCGCAATACTCTCGAACTTAATGCTGTCTCTGCACTTGGAGGCCAAGCCTGAATTTGACCTTCTGATGTGCTCATTTTGACCACTTGACAGCAGAATGGTGTGTAGAGCCTACACTGCTCCTGGGTCAGCCCATCTGGGTGTGAGGATCACTGTGAAGCCCCCAGTTGGCTTCAGACTCTGATTTCCTACCAATAAACTCTAATTAAAGGGGACAGAGGCGTCTCTAGGAAGGCTGCCTTTCCGTCAGCATGCCCCAAGACCTGGGTGCTCTTCTTCCTGCCTGGGGCGGGTCTGGAGGCGGGGCCAGGGAGCCTCTTGCCAGCAGGGGTGAGGTTACCCTGAGCCTGCTCCAATGTCCTGCAGCAGCACCAAGATATTGACATATAAGGAAGATCACTTAGGAGCTGGCTGGCAGGCCTTCAAGGGTCCTTTCCTCTTCACTTGAACTCTTTTTTTTTTTTTTCCTGTTTCCTCATACTCTTTGAGGGGTGCAGTCATAGCCAGCTTTGCACGGGACTTTCTACAAGAGTTTCCCACCTGAAGTCCCTTCTTCAGGCAGGGGTCTGCATTGCACAGTCACTGAGTTGTCTGTCCCTGGTTTTCTTTTGATCAGACCAGTGAAAACCTTACTCTACATATTGAGTTAAAAAAAAAAATTAAAAAGTGCCCTTGATTCTATTTGGACACATGTGCATAGTGTTTTATTTTTCTCTGCCTCCCATGCAGTGGTGGGGGACAGTCAGTGCATGATTAGGAGGTTAAACTGTATTAACCAGGATTTCCTGGTGTTATCCTTTACAGTGGGATGGGTAGAGCTTCAGCGTCTCCTTCCAGATCTTCCAGGAGTGTCTGGCCAGCTCTTGTCCTCCCCGTGCCAAGATGTTCTGCAGGCTGTTCCCTGAGAGTTGCATGCCTCTGCCACACCCTTTCAGTTGTCATTGTGACACCAGCGCAGAGAGATATTGATTCAGGTAGCAAAGCAGACATTATCCTTTCTCTTGATTGTCATGAGATGCCCCAGTTAGGTGTGGATCCCGAGGCACCCATGTCATTGTCCTCCAAACCGTGCCTGCAGCCCCAGGTGATGTTGCTGAATTATACATGGGTAGAGGCTTTCAGCAGCGCTGTTTTTCCACCAGGGCACAAAGCACTGTGTTTGTTACACGAGGGATTTTACATGTGGATCTCCAGGCCCTGCAGAAACCGCAGAGCTACAGGGAAACAGGTAACTATTTAACTGAGAGGGCACATCAGGGTGTGAGTTTAATACAAATGAGAAGCAGATACATTGAGTGTAACTTTCTATTTGAGTTATTTCCTTGAACACACACACACACACACAAATGCTAAAAGTTTAAATATTAAACCCATGTGGTTTTCGAAACAAAGAAAGTCAAGAAGGAACAAAGAAAAGTTTTACGGGCCACATTTAACTCTCCTCTCTGGTCAGATAAGAATCTGAGACCTACAGCTCCTCCTAAATGATGGTAATTACTGGTTTTGTGATTCAGTATCTTTCTGTTCTCTGTGCCTTCTTCATTCTTATTTTACTCTAGTTATATTAATACGTCCTCGCTTCCCTCCAACTAAAACACAAAGCAAAGAAAAAAGACTCCCTTCATTAGAGTGATTGAAAGACCATCTTGCACACAGTAGGTGCAGAAAAGCTATTTGTCAGATGCATAAATGACTTTCTCATCACTGTGGATCGTATCTCCATGGTTATGTTAATTCCTCATATTATGAAACATGGCAGCTACCCGGTGCCAATTCTTGAGACATAACATGTTGGAGAAACACTTTGGAAACAAATGGAAGCTCCTGACTGCAAGGGAAGGAAGGAGGGAAGGTGGGCTGGTTATGTTGAGGATTAGATTCAAGTAGTTTGTTCTGGTATTTTGAATTCTTCAGGCAGTAAATGACCCAATCAGAACAGCCTCTCTGGATCTGTGCCTGCGTTCTCCCCTTCACGTGTTTCTCTAACGTCTGTGACCTCCATTAGTATAAATTAATATAAGCATGGAAACGGGACTTCTCTACATGTATGATATTTATTCATCTAACGAGCAGTTTTTGCAGGTCACAGAGGCCAGCCTGCAGAAGGTTCTGCACCGTGTCCATGCTCAATGTTGTACTGAAACTTCGGATGTTTGCCATCTGTCTTGCTACTAAGTTAGGCTCTCTCACAATATCCTCAATGGTGAGTTTTCTTCTGTCGATTGGACACGTAAAGACCAAGAAGGAGGATTTTTTCCATGCCTGGAACTCGTGTCTGCACCACGTGGCTTCTCTGTCCCTGGCACACACTCACCGAGGTCAGTTGGCTCCTGTTGAATTTTTGTAATTGAGTGACTCAGGGATCTACGGGTCCCTGGAGACACAGCTCTGCAGGGAAAGGCAGTCCATATGTTGAATTTAGAACCCCAAATGACTTACAGAGACTTGAAGCTTGTGGTAAATCAACTCCCAACTTACTAGGAACACTGACCATGTGACACCCACAAAGCCTGACGCTAAACCAGTGAGGAACAGCTCACTTAACACAACCTGACAATCATACACAGTACTTGACAGGAGCCAGTTGGCAAAACGCCTGCCCCTCAGTAGTGGCCCTCTGCCTGGCCATGATCTCATTCCTAAATGGGAGGGTGTTTTAACAGGGGTCCTGCCTGAGGAATTTTAAGTACCAGACTTACTTAAACCTAATCATCAAATTAGCAAGAAACTGGGTCAACCTTCTAAAGCAGTGGTTCTCAACCAGGGGCAATTTTGCAGTGTTTGGATGTTTCGCAATGTTTAGAGACATTTTTGGTTGTCACACTGAGAGGGGTAGTGCCACTGGTACGCAGTGGGTGGAGGCTAGGGATGCTGCTAACCATGCTACAGGGCACAGACCACTCCCCTGCAACCAAGAATTATCTAGCCCCAAATGACAGTAATGCTGAGGCTGAGAAACTTGAATATTCATTTTGGCTTCAGTAGACCAAAATAGCAAAATAAAATGACACACTGAACACCAAGTGAGATCCATCACAGCTTATCATTGAAATTATTGTTTAACTTCAACAACCATCATTTTGTTTATCGTCATGTCCTGACTCTGTGGGAAGAAAGTGTTAAAAGAGAAAGGCCAGTCATTCACTGAGTTGGTAGCTTTATGGGATTTTTCATCACACTGGGTCGCTGCTGGCCCTGGGAGGGCTGGGTTTGGTCACACCACAGCTTGCATCTGGGGCACCCTCTCATGGGGTGGAGATGGGGGCTCCTCGGTGGGATCAGGGCAGGTGTTATGGCCAGGAACCTAGGAATGTGCCTGCATCCAACACAACCTCCCAGCCTGACCATCCCCCTTCCTCCCTAACTGGGCAGTTCCAAAAGAGCAAAGTGCATGTGATTCAGTGCCATGTGACTGTACCTGCAGGAATGTGTGGGAGCCGCCCCAGGAGCTCTGATGAGGGCTGAATTGGAGTGAGTGCTTTAGGCTCAGACTGAGCCCAGCTTCTTCCTTCTTTCTAAAGACCAGCTCTTGGGACCTTGCACCTTTGGGTGAGCCTCCTAACACAGGTCTCTGGAGTAAATGTGCCAAGAGCACAGGTTTCTCATGGGATGGGAAGCAGGGGCCCCCTGGGAACACCTCCCCAGAGACTGGTCTCTGCACAGTGACCACACTCTGAAATGACCATGACCACATTAGCCTTCCTGATTCTGACTGAGTTCCACTTTCTGCTTCCTGGGACATGGAGGAGGAGCAAGGAGAGGGACCAGGAGCATCAGGGACTATGGGTCATGAAGGCACAGGATTGGGTCCCCTCATTTGCAGACTCAAAATTGTTAATTTATTGGTCGCCTACAGTATATCAGGCTCAGAGAAACTGACTTATCTTAATTGAACTCAAAAATGAGTACTATTTAAATCTGAATGCCAGTTTATTCATCAGAAATAAAATCTAACCACCAAGTCATCAGTACGTGCCCTATCTGTTCTACAAGCATATCTTCAGATAGAATTCAGTTATAATTAGGAGGTTGCAGCAGGTCACACTATCAGGACAGCTCGTGCCCTCAGGCCTGGCTGGAGATCTGAGTGTCCCCTGTGACCTACTCCAGACCCTGGAGCCCACAGGGTGTCTACTTCCCTGGACTATCTTGGTACACTCAGCATCAACCTCATTCCTTTAAGAAATTTATGTAAACCACCCTTCTTCTGTTGGTGGGTTATTTCTTCAGAAATGTTGATCAGGCTGAAACATGTCTGGGGTATGAAACAGCACTCGAGACACCCTGATTGAAGGTGAGTGTGTCTTGGACCTTCTCATTCACTGTATGTAGACTTGTACTGGCTTCAGTCTCAGGGGTGGTGTGGCCCTGGCTCCTCCCTCTGGGCCCCTACATACTGACCACAGATACTGCCCTTCCTGGGACATGAGGATGGACTATATGGACTCCAGGTGAAAAACTTCTAAACATTCAGAGATGTGATTAAGTTTGAAAAGGGAGGGGGAAGTCAAAGAATCACTGCAATTAACTTCACCTTAGAAACACAGTCGTTGAGCCTCGGGCTGCACAGCATGCTTGCTGAGAGCACAGTGGAGCTTAGTGTGGACTGAGGATAGGGGCTCTGGAGTCAGGTCACCAGGTTCAGACCCTGGCTTTACCTCTACCAGCTGTGTGACTGTGAGTGAGTTACCCTCTCTGAGCTTCAGTTTCTTCCTCATTTATAACATGTAGAGAGCATGATATTTACCTCATGGGGCTGTTGGAAGGATTAAATGGGACAACGCTCCAAAGCTCTTACCTTTGCATCTGGCTCATTGTTAATGTTTAATAAAACCTTTTCATTACCGCTAATCACTACCCTATGAAAACCTTAGTTCTTATAACCGAAGTAGACATTTTGACCTTGTTCCTGAAAGGGAAGAAAAAGAGGAAAATGAAACAGGCTAATTCTGAGTGTATGAGTTCTTCACACCAGGAGAAAATATCAAGGATTTGATGATGGCACAGTACAAAATAAATCCAGATCAACTCTGAACCTTTTATTGGTTCATAACCACAGTAGCACAAGTGATAATTTTCAGGCAATTGGCTTCAGGTTCAATGTCAGACAAAGAGGACTTGGAAGTATAAAGAAAGTAATGGAAGAAAAATCATAAGAATTAGTTCAGTGACAGCCTTTAGAAAGCCCAGGAATGTTTTGAAATCGAGAAATCCATTTGTAATGAGGAGGTCTGTACAGATACAGAACGGGTCCTAAAGATAAGGATACTAACATCCTTAACACCATAACACAATAACCCTAGCCAGTAAAATTTCACCAGCATGTCATTACATTCAAATAGCATGTTACCCTCTGGCAGAGGCCTCCAGGGGATGGGAGAAGAAGTAGAAGGAGCCCATCTGTCTTCAGTGACCAGACCCAGATGTTGCCTTTGGAGCCTTTCAAAAGAAGAATGCATAAGAAGGAAGAGAAGGATCAGTTTGTTAAAGCACAGTCTTTTTTTTTTTTTTTTTTTTTTTTTTTTTTTGAGACGGAGTCTCGCTCTGTCGCCCAGGCTGCAGTGCAGTGGTGCTATCTCTGCTCACTACTCTGGGGACTACAGGCACCTGCCACCATGCCTGGCTAATTTTTTGTATTTTAGTAGAGACGGGGTTTCACCATGTTAGCCAGGATGGTCCCAAGCTCCTGACCTCGTGATCTGCCCACCTTGGCCTCCCAAAGTGCTGGGATTGCAGGCGTAAGCCACCGTCCCCAGCCTAAAGCACAGTCTTAATGTCACCCCAGATGACAGTGAACTCAGAATTTAGCCATTTTTATTAGGAACAAATGGAAAAAAGCCTTCTGGCATCTGTCTCCGTTTGTCACCTGAAGACTCGGGAAAACCGTGTTTGAAATAAAAATGGTAAGCACTCTCTAGTGGTTTCTGCAGTGCGATGTGACTGTTACCATGATAAATCGTTGTTTTTCTGTGATACACATTTTTATCTCGCCCTAGAAACTGCAGTTCTGAAGCTTGGTGCTGTCTGAACCCCTAAGCGTGTACCAATTCCTAAACAAAAAAGGAGAAAGGAGGCACTTTTATGAAACAAATGACATCCACCACTTCCCAGCTCTGTGCAGAATTGTCTCTTGCTTTTCTCATTCTCGAAGCTTGTGAGTTCTTCTCATTATGCAGCAGGAAGTCCTCTTTCTGGTTCCTAATAAAGTGACTAATAATTTAGAATGTTCACATTAAGAGCAGGTTGTAATTATGATTAGAATATATAATAATGCGGAGTTCTGCCTATTGGAGATTAATTTCCGACTCCTCTCAAGGATATATTTGTTTTGAAACAAGACTTTCTCTGTTAATAAAAACATGATCGCATGTATTATTAAAGCATTATTTCTGTATTTTATTCATTAGTGCTTGTTCCAGTATGCTCCCTGGGACCAGCATTTTCCTCTCAGTTGTTAATGGGACTCTTCTTTATATAGACTGCATTCACCGGGATTTAGCTTTAGCTTTGGCATTCATCTTCTAGGAAATTATGGGAATATCCCTACCACCTCCTCAAATGTGCATTACATTATGCAAGCTCAGATAAACAAACGGCCACAACATCAACCAGTAGTCCTGTGTGAAGCCCCTTTTCACTCAACTAAACCCAGATCATGAAGGACAAACCGGACTTGGAGTAAAACCAGAAGTTGCAAGACAGCACTTCTCATTCTTTGACTGTTGGGTTTCTGCAGTGTTTTTCTGTTACTACTGGAGGTGGAGGCCTGGAGGGGAGGGGAAGAGTGGGAGGACCAGAGGTGCTAGTTGGCTGTGACACCTGTGTGCCTTCCTCTCCCCCAGCACCCATCTGCTGGTGTGTCTAGCTTTAGAGAAGTCTCATGTGGCCTCACACAAGCGGCCTGAGGGAGGGTGGGAGGGAGCCCTGGGTGCCACTGCCCCTGCTTCTGGCCCGTCTTTGTCTAGCACCTGTTCAATGTGTGGGCAGTGGAAACCAGTGAGAAGATCTGTTGTGCCAAGAATAGGCGGATGGAATTCACTGCCAAATCCCAGTAGGCCCAGCATCTTGGAGGCCCCAACACTGGGGAAGATAAGGAATGTCCCCTGGCTTTGTTTTCTCTACTTCAGTCACACGGCTGAATCCTAGGCCTATGAGCAGTGCCTGTGGGAAAAAGGTGAACTTGGGAATTGAGGGTCACCATTTCACAGAGTGTGTGATGGCCAGGAGCAGCCTGGGGAGTCTAGGGAGTCCAGAGACATTGGGTCTCTGATGTTTGAGGTCTGGAAATCCAGGAGTTGGCAGGATATGGAGGGACATG